CTGTTTATGGTTTATGAAAGTAGTTGATTTTTTAAGTAAAAAATTTAGAGAAATCATCTAACCCGTCACACCGTGACACAAAAAATGGTTTAAAAACAAAACGAATAAACAATATAATTATCTATTTCATAACAACATCTGTAATATCGAAATCGTTCAGTAAATAATTGACATGTTGGTTGTATGATCACTGGCTATTTTGATCGTAAAATGATGTGGAAATACAATCACAATTCACATTAAATAAATCAAACAATGAACTATTATTATAGTATAAATATAATTAAAATATAATAAACAACAAACAAGTGAAATGGTTAATTAACGTGTATTATAAATTAACATCAACATAACAATAGCAAAAATTTATAATAAAACAACAATAAATTATAAATTATTTTTTTAAATGTGAAACTATTTTTAATAATTATTATCATATAATTAAACTAGTTGATTAATTATGGATAATTTTATTATAAATTATCATTATTTTAAAAGGGTTAATACACCAGAACCCCAAACAATTTAATTCTTTCATTTCAACAAATTATTTAAATTTTAAATTGGTGTGATTAAATAATCGACCATTTGAAAACCCCACGCCCATTAACTGTTTGTTATCGTTAAATTGATTTATATTTTATAAATTTATCAATATGATATGTTTATAACGTATTTTGTATTTTGTTTGTGTTTATTGTATTGCAATTTGCGTTGTTATAATAATTTCGAAGTTGAAACGTTTATTCGATCTTAATAATTCGAGTTGATATTTCTGTGTGTTTTTGTATTATTATTATGTTTAAACATATTGATTATAGTGATAATTTAAGTTTATTCAATAGAGTTTATAATTTGAATATTCACAACAAAAATTAACGACTAGATGAGCATAAATCAAATTTCATATTATGGTGTCCAAAAGGTGGACTATTCATTCAAATTTTCGATGTTTTAATTTATTCGTTTTTGTTATTATGTTTTGATGTATTGTTTCGTATTATAAGTTATAAATTGTTAAAAACTATAAAATAAAAACCAATATCTAGTTTGAGTTGTTTGGAATGTTCGTTTTTACGAATTTACCCTTGTTTTAATTGATAGCCATATTATATAACATTTTTACAAAGTAAATTATTTTTTATGTTTTATAAGCAACAATAACATTATTTTTTGCCCAATAACAATTCGCAGTAATATTTCACGCCGCAGTGATTTTTCACGGTACTCTACAAAACAAATATTTGGTAAACAAAAAAATAATTGTATTTCTTTTAAAATATTCATATTTAAACAATTGTATTTCAATTTAAAAATGAAGTTTTTGATATTCACACATATAGTTATCAATATGACAAGTCATGGAATGATAAATAAATAATCAACAATCATGTTCAAATGTAATTTTTGATGTAAATATAAACCAAAGATAATAATTGTTTTTAACATATTTTTGATTTATAAATATATCTTTTATATTTAGAACATGTGTGACCATTTTAATTGTGTAACTACATCAAACACGATCATTTTCCAATAACTCACTGTCGATAATAACATGTTAATAACTTTATTGAATATATTTTATCTTTTTAATTTATTATGTCTGATTACACACATAAATAGCACATTATGAAAATGACATCACAACTGTTTTTGAATAGTGAAATTATAACATAATTATACATTTACTTTTTAATGATTGTATTTTGATAATTAAAATAAAATGATTTACTTTTATACTCTATAAGCCCATTGTAAAAACATATAAATTATTAAATGTGTAAACTATTTGAGTGTGTAAACATATAATTTTAAACTAAACAAATACATAAATATTATATAATGAAAAGAATGTGAATAATTATTTTTAACTACTTGTTGTTCACAACCCATTTGTACGTTATTTGTTTAAATAAAATATATTTACTGGTTAATATAACTGACAATTACATTAATTTTGTTTATGATAAATAATCAAATGTACACATGAACAA